TGCTTTCCTAAAGAACCATGACTGCCTGGCAGGCCAGGGTGTGTGAAGGGAGAAGATTGCTGTCCTCAAGCCCCTGAAGGCCTTTTGCTGAAGCACAGTGGGCTTTTTGTAGGTAGTTTCAGAAATAAAGCCAGCTGGGCGTGGTTATGCAAGTCTATAATCCCAGTACTTGAAGGATCCTGAGTTTGAGGCAAACCTGAGCTATAGAGCAAGACCCTGTCTCACATCTTCACCCTGCAAAAAGCAAAATACACTCAACAAAACTGGTACCAATCAATGCAAGGAAGAGCAGGAGGCTGTTGCTTCGGCTCAGGGAAACACAAGGCTTCCAAAGGGAGAGATTTGTATCAACCTGGACTTCCTGGGCAGGGGCAGGGCTTCGTCCCACCCACTAAGTTATAGGAATCCATTTGTTCAAGATTCCCCAAAGCCATTAATACAGATGTTCCCAACCTTCCAAATGCTGGGACCATTTCATACAGTTTCTCATGTTGTAGTAACACCCAACACTAAAGTTATTTCCATTGCTACTTCTTAGCTGTAATTTTTCTACTGTTATGGATCATAGATATCTGACATTTGCAGTGGTCTTAGGTGACCCCTGTGATAGAGTTATTTCACGCTCAAATAGATTGCAACCCACAAATTGAGTGCCACTGCCATTCTAGTTTTATATGATTATTTGAGTTAAACTAGTCTGTTAAGTTTATAACAAAGCATAATTTGACTTTGTGTCCCTGTTTGTTTGTTATGTCGGGCGGGGAAAAGTTCTTTGTTTAGGTTAAATGTACTGATTTTTTCTGGTCTTAAAACAGTCTCCTGTAGGTAGGAATTCAGACGGAAAGAGGCCCCAGCCTTCAGATCCATGGTAAATAGGATGATGTGAGTGACTTAGTGTGAAAAGTTGGGACCAGGTTCCCAGGCTTTGCCCTAAGACCATGTCAGCTGAGTTCAGCAGACAATGCTAAACCTATTGCCCACACTAGGTTGCTCAGCCCACCCTTACTACCAAGGGAGGAGCAGTTCCTACCTCAACTTGATGTTCTGTGTTTTGCTGAGACCCATGGGAGGCCTGCCCCTTTCTGAACAGAAACAGAGGTGGAGTAGATGGAGGAGGGGCAGAAGGCAGTAGAGGAGAAATGGGAAACTGTGGTTGGGATGTAAAATAAATGAAATTAATTAATTAATTAATAATATTAATAAACCCCCTAAAGTCCATTACAAGGAGGAAGGAAAGATGGAGAAAGCTCTTGGGCACCAGACATTTGGTTCATATATCGAACATCTACTATTTTAGCCACTGATAGTTTTCTATATGTGAAAAGCTCTTACAGTTCAGCAAGAGAAAGCCAGAGATAATAATAATAATAATAATAATAATAATAATAATAATAATAAATATGATGAGCACATGGAATAAGAAATAGGAACGTCTTAATCATTTGATAGGATGCTCAGATTCATGAGAAAAATTAGTTTTGAAATGACAGTGGAAACCACCTCACCTCAACAGGATGGCTTAGACTTTGAAAAGCATATCAGAAGAGTGTTGGCAAAGAGGTGGAGAAGTCAGCCCCTGGGTGCCCTTGGTGGGAATGTGAATGAGTGCTGCTGCACGGTGGTTCCTCAGAGAGTTTAAAATAGAATTTCCATATGACCTCCTCTTCCACTTCTGGGTGTTAAGTCTAAAGAAGCGAAAGCAGAAAACTGGGAAGAAACGTGTGTGTCCACGGTCAGAGCTGTGCTCTTCGCGGGTCTCAGAAGGTGAACGTGATTCAAGCAGCCACCTGCAGAGGAGCTGATAATAAGCCAGATGCAGTGTGAGCAATAATACGGATGATTCCTGATGGAGGGGTCTCTATGGCACTGAGCTAAGTCATACTGTAAGATTCCCACTCACTTCTAAAGAAGCCGGATCCATGACAACAGAAGGTGATATCGGAGAGGACGACAGAAGGGAAGAAGGGACAACCACTGTTTACTGAGTCCAGAGTTTCTATCTTGCAAAACAAAAAGACTTCAGGAGATAAAGGCGTTGGTGATTCCACAACGTGTATCTATTCCATGCCACTGCACAGTTGAAAAAGATCAGTGCAGTAAACAGTTTTACCACATCTAAATGCAATTTTTAAAAAATTTCAGTGAGAGGCCCGAGGAGCTAGGTTAACGGAACACTTGCCTGGCATGCACACAGCCCCTGGGTTCAATTCCCAGCACTGCCAAAAATTTATAATCATGTGTCATTTTAGCCTGTGGATGGTACAGATCACAAATTAGGAAACGAAGAAATAAAGTGTTTGAGAATAAGCAGTCTCCTGTTTATTATTATTATTATTTATTATTATTATTATTATTATTATTATTATTATCCCTCCGCATAAGCGGGGGGTGGGGAGGGGCAGCAGGTCTATATCCGTGGAAGCTAAAATGGCATTCTCTTTAGCTCTTGGTCAAGCAATTCTCCTTCTCAGAAACAACCAGTTTCTGCAGGTCGGGGACTGTTCGGGTTTTTCATTACAACAGAGCATTGGGAACAACTGAAATACCTGTCAAATGACTATTGGTAGCAAACAGACTAGAGCGGAATAACATGCAACTATTAATATGAGGGAGCTAAAAATATGGCTATAAAATTATCCCCAATCTCGTAATGCATATGGATCTGTGTTATTATTTTGTTGTTCTTTTATTTTTTGTATGTTTTTGTGTTTTTTTTTTGCTTGGCTCTTTGTCTAAAATGACTCTAAGTGAAGGCAAGAAACTGCAAGAGGCGACAATGATCATTCCAGGCAATCTTTGGAAGGAAGTTCGATGGCCAGGGACCAGAGCTGAGAGAGACTTGCTTCCCACTCTTTATCACTGGGATAGCTAATAACGGCTGCCCACTTGGCAGAATCGAGGGTCGCCTAGGAGACATGTCTGAGTGTGTCTGTAAGTGAGTTTCTAGACTGGGTTAATTAAAGTAGGGCAACCCATCCTAAGTGTGGACTGCGCCACTCCGCGGACTGGGCTCTCAGACTGAATAGAGAGGAAAAGGCTAACTGAGCTCCAGCCTCTCTCTGCTTCCTGGCTGAGGGGCCCATGTGACCAGGTGCCTCCAGATACCAACCCCATGTCTTCCCTGCTACCCTGGACTGGATCCCAAAACTCTGAGCTTTTTTGTCAGATGTTTTGTTGTGACAACAAGAAAATTAACAAAATACATCACCTTTACTTTAACACAAACAAACAAACAAACACACCAAGCTCTCACTATGGACCCTTGCTAGCCTAAAACTGTATGGGCCAGCCTGGCCTAGGAATTACTGAGATATGTGGATGTCTACCTCTGCCTCCCATGTGCTGGGATTAAATTCATGTATTATTGTGCCCAAGAATCACCTCTACTTTAAAATTATTGTGCTGTGTGCAAGAAAAATCTCTAAAAGTTCTTAATTAAAAAATTACAATCTACAGGGATTAAAACATGCACATACAGACAGATACAAGACACACAGACACGCATGCACACACCCCCAAAACACATTTTAGCCCACTATTCTGTGATAAGCACCTTAAGAGCAGAAGGAAGGCTACATACACAGTCTGAAAGATGGAGAATGGCTTTAGACAATCCACTCTCCAAGGAAGAAATTTCTGCCATCGAGTAAATAATAGCATTTCTTCCCTATTTACCAGTTTCCTTTTATGCACAAAGCCAGGTATTAATCCACCTGCTCGTGCGCCACCCAATACAAGGTGGCATATTTTCCTTTCTTTTTTTAAACTTCTGCCTTTGTTTGAGATTTTATTGCTGTTAAGAGACACCATGACCCTGGTAACTCTTATAAGGTAGACATTTAATTGAGAGGGAGGGGACTGACTTCAACAGTTTCAGAGTTTCAGTCGATTATCGAGTCCGGAAACATGACAGCGTGCAGGCAGAGGTGGTGCTGGAGCTGAGACTGTTACATCTTGCAGGCAGCAGGAAGGTGGCATATTTTCATAGTACGCATTTAGCATTGGCTTTGTCTTGGGATCTGCTTCAAACTGCTGTAACTAGCTTGTTTTCCCACCATTTTCTAATGTCGGCCCTTATCCTGTGTTTCCTGTAAGCCCCGCAGTCATCTTGGTCTATGGGGAGTGGGTGAGCAGAGAAGCAGGGAGAAAAGGGGGGGCTGGATGTTATAAGGCCACGTGTGACACTTTCCTCGGATTATCTTATGGATGAAGCGGATGGACCACGGAGTAATTCTCAAAGTGTGGCCCTGGGAATTGTTAAACTTAGGCTTTACCTCAACTGCCTGTCAGATTCTCAGTGCACAGTGCAGGAACGCGTTTCACGAGCTCTCCGGGCGACGTTTATGCACACTAAAGTTTGAAAACCCCAGGAACACCAAAGGAACTTTGATTTTACTTAAATGTCTGTGCTCCTTCGCATCCCCCCCCCTCCGCGCCCCGCTCCCCCACCCTGCACTGTTAGAGGAAAGGGAGGAACTATGCTCTAAGGCAGTTTGTCCCACAGCCTTATCGCACATCAAGTGCTTCTTGCTGATGCCACTCAGTCCAGATCAGTTGTGGGGAGGGTGGGGAGGGCCAGAGAGCACTATTTTACGACTTCGTTCTGGAAACCAGGTCTCTGCCTTTGTGAAACTTGGCCATCTTATCTGCCCTCGGAATTTCCTGAATCTGGGAAGGAAGATGAGAGAGGAGGGAAGAAGGAGGTGGATGTGGGAGGAGGCCTCTGTTACTACGTTTGGAAGAGTCAGCTAGCTTTTCTGCCCGCAGTTCTGGTCAGGGCCCAGTTGCATGGCCAGCCCCAACCGCAGAGGAGGCTGGGTAATAAGGCCTGTGTGTGGAGCTAAGGGTAAAACCGGCTGCCGTGAGTGTTCAGCATTGATTCTGCCACACCCCGGGCAGCAGGCATTCCAAACGCCATCTCTAGGTCGTGCTTTGGTGAACGGATGTTCTCTGTCTCACTTTCTAACTAAGCTGTATCTTTTCTTTTTAACTCTAGCACCATGGTATTGGGACTCCTCTTTGTGACCGTTTTCGTGCTCTCAGGTAAGAACCTTTTTCCTGGGTAAAGTCCCGGAGGCCTTCTGCTGTCTCCCAGTAAGTCGGACCACTGCAATCCCAGGCCTGAGAGTTGGTGGGGTTTGCTCAGCACTGACTCGAGTTGCCTAAGACTCCATAGCAAATAACTTTCCTAGAGACCAAGGAAGGGTCAGGACTGGTGTCTCCAGACTGGGCGAATCTCTGCCCTTCCATCAAACCCCAGAATCTGGACACTGCACAAGGCAGAATGCCCCATCCAGGGCTTCTGGGGGCCTACGGAAGGCCACTGCAGCGAAGCCTTTGATTTGGCTCCACCTGTACAGACTTTGGTCTTTCTGTCCCCATTTCCAGGATTCGCAGGGCCCTGGGAAACAGCTGGTGAGCGTTATAAAGCTTCTTGATGTACCGCTTCCTGCTCACACCCTTCTCCCTTAGCCTGTGCCTGAGTTCATACTGGTCATGCTATGTGACTCTGGGCCCCCAGTTAACCATGCAGGCAAATGCACTGTGAAGCATGCTTCGGGGTTCTGCCTTGCACAGATCCCCTCCTTTGTAAGCCTATTAAGACCCCCAGAATGGCCCTAGTGCTACATTACACAAGTCCTGTGACTTGGAAGAAATGAATAAGATAACCACAGTTAATTAAGATTACCTTTCCCTCCCCCACAAACAATGGCCACCCTCCCCCTCCCCATCACAGTCTCCTCCTGCCGGGTGACATTTTTGCATTTGAATTGTGTGATCTTTTTCTTAAGAGGCCCCAAAGTTTAGCTTTGTAAGGCCTCCCAGGACTCAGCTCTTCTCTGGGATGCATTTATCCTGCAACTCAGTGCTGTTGACCCACCCTTCCTGTCACTCATTTTCCTCCACCTCAGTTCTCAGAGAAGCCTCCTCAGTCTTGGTGACAGGCCAGGGTACCCGAGCTGGCGGTGTGCCTGAAGCATCCTCAGGCCACTCCTGACCATCTGGCCCCTGACTAGCCAGCTCAGCCACAAAGCCACCTCTTTCATAATTGTCATATAACAGACCCTTGGCCACTGTACCCAGTTCTGGCTGGGCGAGGAGGAGCTGGGTTTTGTGAACAGATATTCCCTCACATCTCAGCGGGTAGAGACGGGCCTTTTGTGATTTGTGGTTTCTGCTTAGCACCATAGCTTTCTGAGGCCACCTGCCTGATATCTATATGCTCACCTATTCATCAGCAATGTAGGAGAACAGTAGCTGTCTCCTGCCAGGGCCAGTGACCTGGGGTCTCAGCTTCTGGGGAGGTGGAAAGGCAATGGGCACACACACACACACACACACGTATCACAGAGGGGGGAGAAAAAGATAGGTTGTGCATGTGTATACATGTGTATGGGCACAGGTGTTCATATCTGCATGTGTGTATGTGTGCATGTCTGAATGTGTCTCTGTGTGTATGCATCTCTGTGTGTGTATATGTGTGTGTGTGTCTGTGTATGTATCTCTCTGTGTGTATGTATCTGTATATGTGTCTCTGTGTGTATGTATGTGTGTGTGTGTGTGTGTGTGTGTGCACTTTATAAACTGTGGGTGCTGACTGTTCTGAGCACTTTATGAAGAGCAATTCATTTAAAAATCCCAAGAACTTGCTGCATTAGCTCTTGTCATTATTCCCCATTTTAAGACAAGGCCCCTAAAGTACAGAGAAGTTTGAGTAATTGACTCAAGATCAACACAGCTCCTAATGAGAGAGCCCAAATTCATACCCAGCAGTGCAGGTTGAATGTCACTGATGTGTGACAGCAGGCTACTTCTCCTGATTCCCGCTCTCAAGCTCCCAAGGCAATGAGCAGCAGGCTCTGTTTTTTTTTTTTTTTTTTTGGTTTTGGTTTTCCTTGTGACTCTAATAGCTTTGGTGGATGATATTGCTTCAGTTTCGTCCTTTCTTGCTCACACACTACCTCCTTCACATCCTCCTCTTATCTTAAACCACACCTCAGATGTCCTTAAGGCTGAGGTTAGCCCTGCCTGCCACAGTGGCCAGCCTAGCTTTTGTGGCCCCCCGAAGAGAAATGCCCTGGAGACAAATATTCAGTGGCAGTTTAACCGAGACACCTTCGCTGTCCCCAGACTTTCTGGCTCTGCCCTTTGAAAACAAGCAAGTAAAGTTGAGAAACCCATCAAAACCAAAGGCAGGTGTTATTTTTCTTCTGACCCGCTTTGAAACTGTGTGGAAACTCCTAGCTCCTCAAAAGGGAGGTGATAACTTTGAAACTATAAGAAGAAAGAAAAACTCTTGCACAATAACTGATTGGGTTTCATGGTGGTGAGGGGATGTGTGTGAAGATGCTGGGGAAGAACAGATTTAAAGAGGGTAGGAAAACAGCATCAGCCACCAGAGCATGAACTTGCCAGTTCTTCACTCACCGCTAAAAGTAAGGATAAAGCAAAGAGTCGCCATCCATTTTTCAACCTTTCATTTCTTAGCTAGCTTAATCATTTATAAGTATACTTCTTTAATTTGTTTTCTGAATATTGCAAACATGCATACAATGTGCCTTGGTCATATCCACCCCACTCCTTCTCTCCAAGCCCTCAGCCCCCTCTAAAATACCTCCCATCTTCCTCTCAACTTTGACTATGCATACATGGGACAGCTGTGTGGACCACCCTAATCCCCAAGGCTCAGCGAGCATCACCAGAGAGAGGAGGGATGGGAGGGGTGTAAGAGCCAGAGGATGGGGAGGAGAACTGTGAAAGGCTGGCCTCTGGACATGACATGACCACTACACAGAGGTCTCTGTGAATTCACAGAGACCGTGCATATCTGCACAAGGCCACCACAAGATCAAGAGAATTAAATGTAAACAGAGATTGTGCTTTTGTTTCCCAGTCACCTAGACCCAAACAATCACACAGAAACTATATTAATTACAACACTGCTTGGCCAATGGCTCAGGCATATTTCTAGCTAGCTCTTACATCTTAAATTCACCTTCTTCTACTAGCCTATGTATTGTCACGTGGCAGTAGAGTTACCTCATTTTCTACATCTCATTTTCTAAATGTCTTGTTTCCTCGGCATCCAGCTGGCATCTCCTTGATTCTTCCTACTCTATATATCTCTGTTTGGATTTCCTGCATGGTTTTACTCTGCTAAGTTGTTGGCCGAAACAGCTTTATTCATCAACCAATAAAAGCAACACATATACAGAAGGGCATCCCACATCAGTTAAAAGTTTCATCAAGGATCAGGGAAGAGCTCATCCCTACCCCTAGCTGAAGAGCTAATAGCAGTTGATGGCTACTGAGAGAGTCACTATTCCTTGGATGGGGACATTGGTATCTATGCCCCAGTGAATGACCCACATTTGTGTGCATAGGAACAGCATTAAATGGACCTAGAATGTGTTATTAAGTTCAAAGCCACCCACAAGAATTTTCCAGGTTCTAGGGTTCTCATTTCTGTTCTCGTTTCTGAACGACATTTGATTCAACAGCAAACCTGGAGTGGTCGAGTCTTTCTTCGCTTAAAGATGTACACAAAAACAGTCTCACACTCTGATCCAGTGCTCTGTGGAAAAGAACACTGTCTTCCTCCAGGTTTGTGCAGGTTCTGGCCTGGATGGTTGGATGAAGTAGCATCTGTGTGTTTGTTTGCTTTGGACTCCTACTTCCCGTCACTGCTGACTGGGCACTGAAATAGGTACCTGGAGTGAACTAACAGTTCACACCTATTGTACCCAAAGAGTCACTTTGCTCAGTCACTGCCTCAGGACCTTTTCAAATGCACCTATTTTACTCAGTCCTCAGTGTCTTACCCCAGTTAGTCATTCATAAAAACATGTTTTTAGTGGATCCCAGAGAGAATGAATGAGCTGTCAGACAGGAGGAGGGTTGTTGAGGATTAAGAATGGAAATTGGTAAGAAAGAGTAAGGCTCCCTGGTGAGTGGGCTTCCTGGGAACAAACAAGACCTTGAGACTGTGGTTTTTCTTTTTGAGAAAGGGAATCTTAATTCTGTTTTTTAAATATGACCTGGGATTTGGCGCCGTTGGTTTCAAACATGTTTGCGGCATCAAAGGCCGACTTCACACTAATTTAAAGATCTTTTGTGTATGTGTGTGTGTTTTTAATAGATTGTGTACTGTGGGTATGAATAGAAAGGAAAATAAAAGGACAAAACAATAAGGCTCATGAACTGGGTTTGTAGAAAGTAGGGGAAAGGAGGGATTCTAGGAACAAAAATGGGCAGAGAATTGAGGGAATTTTTGTTAATTGTCGACTGTAGAGAGGGAGAAATGTATGCTATCAGATAATGTAAAATGATCCCATCTCTCAGGAGGCTGAGACACAGAGCCCTTTGAAACCATGGCCAACCTATGCTCTTTAGGAGAGGAAATTTAAAAAGAAAGGACTAAGGAGGAAAGGACAAGCGATGCAGGGCAAGAACAAAAACCACACTGGCCTGCTAAATAGGCATTGGATACCAGGGAGGGAAAAGAGGATGTAGGAGGTGAGGATCCCGGTGGAGACTTAGGTATGATGTGGCCCGAGAGTGGGGATTCAGTATGGAGTCTGTCCGTATGCCTTCCCCAACTCGCAGAAGCCTGCCTCACTCCTTGCAGCTCTTCTGTGTTGGGTTCTCCTGTCTAGGTCTTCCACTGGCTGATTGGATCATAGATGCTTGTCCAGTCCATTGGAGAGGCTTCACCTGTGGAATCTCAGATTCTAGTCACACCTCTGTCATCCCTTCAAAGTGGGTCTTACCCCATGTGGTCCTTTCCAATTTCCCAAGTACTGCTGGGAGTCTGTGTTAAAGTTCCCCTCTCTGTTGGTTCCATCAAGTTTGCAGCTCCTGGAATGCTGCATGGTCCTGATTCAAGGTCTGTTTGTTTGTTTTTCTCCCCTGCTGCCTAATAGTATTCTGCTAGCTAGAACTGAGTGTGTAGTCACCTGGTACCTGCTCTGAACTTCCTGAGAGTGATTTATGAAGGATCTCAGGACTCCAAGATGGCAGGCAGTGAGGTTCTTTGTGGATAATTTAAAGATCTTAATAGGCTTTATTTTCTCATTCTAGCATGACACATCACTGTCCATTTGAGAGCGTAGGCCCCTGCCCCTCGCATCTATCCCAGCCTCCAGGCCTGGTCTGGACTCCAAATCTCAGCAGACCAGGTGCTGATCCCTCCGTGGGCGTGGGGTCAGGACCACTCCCCAGGGTATTTAGGTGATCCCCCAAAATAAGAACACGTGGTCTTCCTTTCTTCCTCCCAGGGGTAGTGTTTTCCCTGTTTCCCGGTTTCCCCTCGGGGCCACCTGAGAGGGCAGATCTCCCATTAAACCTGGATATTTCTTAATTTGGCTTGTTTTGATTTGGCTTGATTGGAAATTTTGTGTCGGCAGGGAGTTTGTGTTAGGAAATATTCCTAACAATCACTCCATTCCGTGAAATAGAATAGGCATCCCTAAGGGCTAAGCAAAAGAGGTTGGTTTCATGGAGAAAGGCTGGAAAAAAACAAAAAAACAAAAAAACCAGAAACTGAAAACGGGGTTGGCCATTGCAATGACATTTTCTTGCAAGACGGAGAGAGAACAGAAGAAAACTAATGCCCTGGGTGATAACAGATTGTTTCATGTAAGATGTATGGTGCATGCATTAAGGGAGCCTCCCTGTTGTGCTGATAAACTAGTCTGAGAAGTTTGGATATCCCATTCTCCAAATCTCTTGGAAAGTCAGGTAGCAAGGTGGTTTGGGTTTGGCGGCGTGGGATGTTAGTGTAGGTGACCCTGTTTTGATTTTTCTAGCCGTGGAAATGAAAACACTTGTAACCCTTCTTGCATGGACCTTCCTTGCTTGTAAAGGGAAACATAAAAGACAATGCCCCTAAGGCCTCCAGGTAAATCAAGATTCCTTTTCTAACAGCCCTTGTTTTTGCTTCATAGTCACCCACCACCCTTGGCTGTTGTACCTCTGATCTCCCATGCAGCGTGTGTGTGTGTGTGTGTGTGTGTGTGTGTGTGTCTCCTGGGCATTTCCTGCAGATAATCTGATGATGACGGGTAGAATGGCATTGAGTAGGAGAACCACTCTTAGAGACGGGGAGGAAGATTTAAGAGGAAGAAGAGAGCATCCCCTGCTTTCTAAATGAAAGTGTCCAGCAGGCCACTGGGTATGGTGTCCAGAACTCCAGGGAAAGCTGTGCACTGCAGATAGGTCATTGAATTGATAACTGCACTAGGTTATTGAATTGATAACAGATTGGATCAATCTGTTAGCATTTGAATCAATGGTCATCCAGAATAAATCCAGGCGTGAGAACAGCCACACGAGCCAGGGCGTCAGCCTGAGGAAGTTCATTCCAGTTAGGCTGGACGCCAAAACTGAGCGACTTTTGGTGGACTGGTCAGATCGGGAAAGGACAGGAAGAGAGAGGACAGGGATGCACTGGTGGGGGCTGCTAACATCTTATATCGGGAACGCTTCATGAGAGATGGGCTTGAGCAGTGGGGTGGGGAGAGGAGGTGTTTCTGCTCACTAGGGGAATCTAACTGAAATGAAAAGCAGGAGAAGCGGGACCAGTTTGAGACGAGCCGCATTCAGAGAGATAGAACATCCCAAATTTCAAACGTTACCTGTCTGTTCAATGGAATTATTTCCTCTAGTGGGGCTCGTCCACCCAGTATAAGATCAGATCTATAGATCCAAAGCCGTTTTTTCAGTGTGAGTTCTTCTAAGGTAACAAGGCCTATTTACTGGCCTGACTGGTGAGAAATGGCTAAAAAGCTGAATTATTTCTGTGCTCTTCAGTATCATCACAACTAGCCATATGTGACTTGTTAATCTTGAATTAATTAAAATGAAATGAAAAAAATTCAATTTCTCTCTCCAGCACTGCAAAACTAATCCGGTTTCTCGGTCACATTTAGTATGGCTCAAGGATTCAAGAGCCATTATTCAAAACCAAATAAGAGTTCTCTCGTCTCAAAGCATTCTTCTGGGGAAATAATGCAGTGTGGAGTCAAGGCTGAGGTCTAAGAAAGCTAACGCCTCGATGAAAGGAATAGATAAGAGGCCGCTAGTGAAGCCTGGAGGAATCAGGTTTTGGGTGGAGATGAATGTGTTGAGACCGAGGTCTGAGGAGCTGAGCCTCAGGTGACACTGCTCGGGATCATGTCATGGTAGACGGAAGGCTTCTGAACTTGTCTGTGGGTGAAGGGCTTTGCAACTTTGGTACACGGTCGTCGGTAGACTCATGGTTGACGGGCAAACTGGTAGATCATCTTGGCAGTTATGTTGAAACTTGGTTAGAAAGAACAGCCTTGAATATAATGACAAAATCCTCCTTGAATGGAGAGGTAGTACCCAATAATTAATGGCTCACAATCAGTGAGATGGGTTAGATAGTATAGATCCTCTAAGTGGAGAGGGGCTGCTCAAAGTCCCTGTTGATGGAGCCAGCAGCATCTGGGGGCCACATGGAGTCCTTTGCGTAGATCCAGATTTCATGGAAAGAACATTTAAGGGTATATTTATTGAAGAGATTCATCAATAGTGGAGTCTAGTACAATGGAACAGGGCTTCCAGCAAGCCTAGAAAAGCTTTAGAAAAAAGACCTTGAGCGTAATAACTGTCATGACAGGAGGAAGAGATGTTTAAAACACGACCTGAGTCTGGGGTAACGATCAGGGAACGCTGTCGTTCTGGTGGGGTCATAGACTCAGAGTTCTCAGACCATGAGCTCCGTGTGGCATTCAGATGGTTTCCTTTAGTATTCGCAGTCTCTATTTCCTGGTTGGGGGAGTATATGGCTGAATCCCTATGTGCCTTGCTCCTGACATCATCATAGCAATAGGTCACAAGTAAATCCAAACCATTTCTGTTGCCCAAGTGGTAGAGGAGGGAGGGATTGTCAGTGATTTCCACCAATGGAATCCCAGGGAGTTCACTGACTTAGTGGCCCCTTCAAGCTCTGGGGACCACAGCAGGGGAGGCCTGAAGCCACTGGGGAAAAACAGACCTGGTGTCAAATCTTCCCCATTTGGTCACAGTTAAGAAGATGTTTCTTCCTGGTTCAGAGTGACATCAAGAAAACCAGAGTCTGGTGGTGAGCTCAAGCATGTAGACAGTGAATTACTTTCAGTTCCACTGAGGCTACAGAACGATTCTACCCCACGGGGAGGAGAAGGGGTTTGGAGAGGGTGGAAATGAGTGTGTTCAGGTCTGCATCTCTGATTTCCTCCATTTCCCAAATAGGAGTTTTTGGTAAGAACGCAGACTCTGATTCAGATCCTGGGTGGAACCAGAGAGTCTAAGTTTCTGACCAGCCCCCAGATGAGGTCAATGTCTTTGGTCCACTTTGTATTTGTAAGTAAAGAGGAAACAGAGGTGAGGAGGAAGTCTCAGTTATCTTCTGGAGAAGAGGACTGTGTCGGAGAAGTCGCACTTGTCTGTTCGTAGAGAGGGCACATAGAAAGCAAAGTTGGGGCCGGGCGGTGGCGGCAGAACACGCTTTCAATCCTGACTGCTTTTTAATCCTGCATGCTTTTAATCCCGCATGTTGGGAGGCACAGGCAGACAGATCTCTGAGTTCAAGGCCAGCCTGGTCTGTAGAGCTAGTTCCAGGACATCTGGGACTACACAGGGAAACACTGTCTTGAAAAAGGAAGGAAGGAAGGAAGGAAGGAAGGAGTCTTCATAGAGGAAAAGAAAGCCTGTGTGTAAGGAAGATATAAGAAACTCAGTGTGAATTCACTTCCAGCTGGAGAAAATGCGGTTGATAGCTGAACAATAATGCCACCCCACCCTATAGCTGGTTGACGTTTCAGCTGCCTGCTTGGTTTCTCTATCATCTGCCCGGAACCACATGACAGAGTAGACCCACACCAGAATGGGTTCTGCCCACACCAACCCTCGCAGCACTATGAACATTTACAGTAGGTGGCACTCTTGCCTCGTGCTTGAGAAATTAACAAAGGTGTAACAGAAGGGCGGATGGAGTAAACTGTCCTCAGGGCCCAGTTTCACTGCTGTGGGAACTCAGGGATTCCCCTCTTCCTCCAACCCATACATGCATGTTTATGTCACTGGTGCCTGGAGCATCCCCTGAGACCTCTCGCAACCTCTTGATCCTAGGTTCTCACGGTGGTCTGCAGGCAGTTCAGTTTTGCCAAGTGCTACCTGTCTATTTATGTTTTATATAGGGAGGCCCACGGATCAGGTCAATTTAACTTGCCCTGTATCACCGACACTCGAATGGGATCCCGCTCATCCCTGCCTGGAATCCTGAAAGATGAATGGCTCTTTATGTCTTTATGCAGAATCTTCTCCAGTCTGCTCCCCGTGGCAGCTCCCAAGTTCACGGGGACCAATAACAGCACCCTCGCCTCACCCTTCGCCTCTCAGCTTCCTCTGTTTGCTTTTTCCTTGCTGAGTCCCAAGTAGCTCTGCAGCCCAGAAAAGCGTCCTACAAGCTGGCTGATGCCAGCATGTCCTTTCTCTGAACTTTTCCAGCATGTTCCGTTTAGGTTATAAAAGTTTCCATAGGCAATGCTGCCTGGGAGTAGCAAGTCGGTTTCTCAGGGGTTTCTCCCATGTGACACACCTCCTCATCTTCCCGCTTAGAGTTCACTCCCGACATTCTACTCACGACTTTAAGTGCTCTGACCACCACAACCTCTCAAGAGTCACTATATCTATATCTATATTTATATCTTTATGTGTGTATATATTACAGTAGCAAACCAAAGAGTAGGAGAATGGCATGGGACAGGGATGGTTTAGGGGGATGGCTTAGCAGCTATGGAAGCCTGTGACAACCACAGTGGTCACGGTCAATATTCTGGTTTAGAAATCCATAGAGTGATAGTGCCAGAGAGAATCCTAGACTTTACTTCAGACCGCCTCCTTAATCAGGAGAGAGAACTAGGACTCACAAAGGCCACAGTCTGCACACGGGACCAGTGGAACGAGAGCAAGGGTCGAACCCAGATGCTCAGCATGGATGCCCAGTTCTAGATGCTAACATCCATCTGTCCAGTACCATCGCTGGCAGGAAAGCTGGAGGCTGGATGCTGCATGGGGAGAATGGAATTTCTTCCTTCTTGTTTCTCCTTCCCTAATTCTCAGTTTCTCTATTTTAGATGCCGTTGCCATGAAGAAGCAAGCTTATTTCAATAGTACTGCATACCTGCCATGCCATCCTACAAAGGCCCAGAATATGAGCCTGAGTGAGCGGATAGTATTTTGGCAGGACCAGAAAAAGTCTGTTCTGTATGAGCACTATTTTGGCAGAGAAAAGCTTGATAACGTGAATGCCAAGTACCTGAACCGCACAAGCTTTGATGGAGAAAACTGGACTCTAGGACTCCACAATGTTCAGATCAAAGACATGGGCTTGTATGATTGCTTTATACAAAAAAAGACACCCAAAGGATTAGTCATCCTCCAGCAGACATATACGGAACTGTCAGTGGTCGGTATGTGTCAATATTGTGTTCAGATGGTTGGTCTGCTCGCTGAGACTATAAATGAGCAGAGAAACACTGAGACCAGGGATCTGACGGGTCAAGGGCAGAAGAGAGCCATTTCTAGGAAGTCCATCTTAGAGAAGGTGGGGTCCGAGAGTGGGAAGCAGAAAGCCCTTTCTCTTTGATGGTTTGCTTCTTGGGGATCAGTGAGGATTCTCTCTAGAAAAAATAAAAGCGACACAGCCAGAGGAAAACAGTGGATGCTGTGGCCATTGCATCCACTTTCTCCTTTAGTCTGAGATTTTCTCACCCACAAAACCCGATCTGGGGGCTGAGGGATGACTTGGTCTATAAGATGCCTGTCGTACAAGCATGACAACCTGAGTCTGGATTCCCAGAATTCATGGAAAAGGCCAAGCACAGTGGCACATGCCTCTAACCTCAACACTTGGAGGTAGGGAATGGAGTGCCAAGACAAAAGGCTCCCTGGTTCTGCTAGGACGGCCAACCTAATAGGATCCATGAGCGTCAGGTTCCGTGGAAGACTGTCTTACAACATAAGAAAGAGGGAGAATGATTGAGGAAAGATGTCTGATGTCCACCACCACATGTGTATAAAGCACACACATGCATGCATGCACACACACACATGCACACATGCATGTGCACACACACGCATGCACACAGACTGTGGTCTTTAACTCCTACCAAGGGTGGCAGCCAACTGATGTGGGCTTTCCCTTCAACTTTCCATAGATTATTTGAGTTATGTCTGCCCAGCAGACAGAAGGAAAACTGAAGAGAACCCACAAACCAACAAGTCAGCTTCTCTGTTTCACCAGGCTTAGGATTGCCTGCATCTCACTACAGACTTTGGAACTAGATACAGGGAAACGAATCTATCATTTGAGTGCGTAATATTGTTTTATTTTTGTAGATTCTGTAGAGATGTTTGTAACCACCACAGTAGATCAGATTCAGGACACTTCCACCCGCTGAAAAATTCCTTCAGGAAGTTCCTTTTGGAGCCATTCTCTTCATCCATAGCTTTTGTTTGGGTCGTAGAGTTTTGTCGTGTTGAGACTACCATACACCCGGAGCTGAACATGTGTATTTAACCTTTAAGACTGACTTCCTTTATTCAGATGTTTTGTGTTTCACCTGAGGGTTTCAGAAATTTGGGAGCACTTTTTTTTAATTGGTGAATTATGTTATGCCGTTTACCATCCAGTCACTGAAAGACACTGAGCAGTTTCCAGTTTGAAGCCGTTACAGATCGAGCCACTGCAAACATTGAAGGGCCGGCTTCTGTGTGGACCTAAGTTGTGTTTCTATGGGGTTTCAGTTAACTAAGTGCTAGGTCAGTGTATAGTAGTCACCTTTGGGGAGACAGGGTGTTTTAGGTGGGGCACAGACAAGCTCTGAAAACCAGCTGTCTATTTGTTATAATGTGTATTACTGCTACAACTTAATCCATGACTGCAAAGGTATTGTTGATGATGCTAGACAGAATCTGGTAACCCTCAGCAAGCCTTGGCAGGATGTGCAAGGAGCTTATCAATATTGCAAAATGCAAAGAAGATGGCATGCTAATGACTTCCATTTTAGAACCAATACAGTGCATTAACTTTTTGGTTATGAGTCTAGCCTCTAACAGCTGAGCCATCTCTCCAGTCCCATACTGAATTATCCAATTAGTGTGTAGAATCTGCAAACACCCTAAATGAGAACAACAAGGATTTGGCTGGCTAAAGGCACAGTTTTCAGGTCCAAGATCTATGTCCCATTTCACTTCAGCCCAAAGTACACAAGAGAAAGCAAAGGTGAGAGTGGATTGAATTTGCCCCAGATGGATGAATTCTTATAGAACAGTAGTTCTCAATCTTCCTAATGCTGTGACCTTTTAATACAGTTCCTCATGATGTGGTGACCTCCAACCATAAAATTATTTGCTGCTTGATAACTGTGGTTTTTCTACTGTTGTAAATCATAATATAAGTGTCTGATGTGCAGGATTTCAGATATGCAGTCCCCAAAGGGGGTTCACATCCTACAGGTTGAGAACCGCTGTTATAACTCATGATGATGATACCACAGCAATCACGTCAAAAACCAATAGTCTGAGTTTGTAAACACAAAGGCCCCACTTCTTATTCTTAGGTTCTTAAAGATGGGACCCAAGGCATGCAAGGACCGTAAACTCTGTGAGTTCCTGGTGGAATCTCAGTTCCTTCCCTGGTTGGAAAGTTGAGATGCTTCCCCATGGCAATAGAGGCCCCGTAGTCTGAGCGGACTGCCACTCAGACTCCACTTCCTTTAATAGGGCTTCACTAGAGACCTTGGCGAGATCATTTTAGCTAGCCTGTCTCTCAGAGAGTACTCTCTTGACTGGGATAAGGAGTTAAGTGGGTTTCTTGAAAGACAAATGTAGGCTTATCAGGTAGCCATCACTGTAGGCTGAAGCCCACGCCTTGAGAGCACCAGGTGAGCCCCAATTAAGGAATTTGCTGTTAGTTATTTGCCGTTCCTTTGTAAATACATCTGCATTTAGACTGACTGTTTCCATCTCTATTCTGCCTCCAGCTAACTTCAGTGAACCTAAAATCGAGGTTCAGTATAAAGACAGGAATTCTGGCATAAATTTGACCTGTTCATCTAAACAAGGTTTTCCAAAACCTACAAAGATGTATGTTTGGATCATTAATTCGACTAATTCAACTAACGAGTACAGTGATGAGATGCTGATATCACAAGACAACGTCACAGAACTGTTCAGCGTTTCCATTAACCTCTCCATCCCATTCCCTGACGATGTGTGGAGTGTGACCGCCGTGTGTGTTCTGGAAACCGAGTCAATGACGACTTCCTCCACACCCCAAGATATAGGTAAAGCTGCTTCCCAAGACGTCTTATTTCATGGGGAGTTAGGTGGAAAACATTTTAGCCCAACCTCTCAATGTTCACCGCTTGCAGGAAAACCTTCCGGCAGGCCACTAGAAAGGACTCAAATAGAAGGCTTCTGCTACCCCTGCATGATCCTCGGCCCAAGAGTCTATGAATCTGGGCTTAGCCCTGAAAATGACCCAGACTTTGAAGTTATTCTTGAATGAGATATTGTAGTCAGAAAATAGAAGATATCCCCTAACAAGAAGCCTTCGATTGAATAAAATGCACACACACATGCGCACACACACATGCGCATACACGCATGCGCACACACACATACGCACACACATATACACACATGCGCGCACACACACATGCGCACACATGTGCACACACACATGCACACACACATGCGCGCACGCACACACACACATACATACTATGTTAAACCTGCTTCCCAACAGTACTTACTGTGCATATGGAATCATTCTAGGTGTTGTCCAGTATAAGACTGGAAATACAAAGATGGAAGATACCTTCTAGTTCTTAAGATTCTTCCAAGAAAATAAGAACTCAATGGCATACATACATGATAAACTGAATTTTTAAAGATGAAATTCAAGTCTAAATTATAGTTTGTAAAAACAATTGCCTAAATTTAAAACAAGCTGATGATCAGCTCGGAGAGCCTTCGGAGGCAGGCAAGATCTCTGGAAGTCAGATAAGCCTTCTGAAGGCACTAGAGCCTTACCACACTGCAAAATGGATTACTGGGCTCTGTAAATCGATGGAAAAGGGGACGGGGTTCTAAATAAAAGACGCTCCGATTTGCAGTGAGTTTCTGCACAGAAATATCATGAGGCAGCAAGTGTTCTCCGCTGATGAGAGGACCACAGTGATGAGAGGACCACAGTGAATCAGTTGTATCCAATAAGAAGCAGGAAGTATTTTTAAGACAGATTTAGTGAAGGAGAGTTTGTAGCATCTTCTTGGTATGTTTCTGGCTTCCATGCTGATGGAACAATAACAACAACAAAAAAAAAAAGGTAGAAACTCAGTCCCAGCTTTGTCCTGTTGAGAACTAATCTATGCCTGTACCCCACTTATGAGAAGCAACCATTCCTTCTGGAATGAAGGCACCTTGTACCCACTTGACCCCCATCATTGTTTATTTTGAGCCTGATCCCATCCCTCAGTGATCTGCCTTTTGTTTCTACAGTCCCTTCTCCAGCCCTCTGATTTGCCCCTTGTGGCGCCATCCCTCCATCCATCTCTTTCTGCATTCCCTGGCTTTGCCTCCTCCTTTCTCCTTGTGCCTCCCTCAGTAGCTTGGCCTATGGACATACTCCTAGAAGCATCCCCGTGACTAGTGCCCACAGCCAGGTTTACAACTAAACCCACACTGCCTTTCCTGGTAACTGATTTCCTTTTACTCAGATGTCTCAGTCACTGAAAGGGCCACCTAGTTGTCCCATTTGCTTCTACTGCAGTATAGATGACCTAAGTAGTGCCTGAAGCTCAGCACTTTTGTGTGGACACTAACATCATACCCCCCCACCCCACTTGTCCACAAATGAGCAGGGATGGATCAGCACCATGCACTCATCATGGCTCACCTCTACTTGGCAACTGTATAGAACTTCCCCAGGTACCACCTTCAGAAACGCTTCTGCTTGGGCTACCTCAGCAAAAGGGTCCTCAACCTATGCTTTACTCAGAGATAGGTTAGCCGCTGAATCTGAGTATCAAAAGGTGGAAGTCTTCCAATAAGAAGCATAATCCTCCTTTTTTGGAAATTCCATACAGGTTTGAGTGAGACAAACGGGGACACACTCAGAAGGTATTAAATATGATCCATGGTGCCAATAATTCTTCATTTCATTATTCTAGGAACAGAATGAGTGCCTACAAATTGCAGCTAAACTATGGGAGATCTTCCTCAGTTTTCCTAGAATTTAGGATTAAACAAAAGAACTGTTTCTGTAAATGTCTATAACGTGACCCACTCAACCTTCCATCAACTTCCCGGACTGAAGTTAGGCCTTCCTATTCTAGGAAGTAATTCCTGGCCTTCAGGGATCTGATTTTCCAGAGAATGAGGAAATTTCAAAGACTTTCTAACTCAGGAGGCATGCCAAAAGGCAGGCTGATGAATCCCCGGGCCACCTCAGTGGAAATAATAATCAAACACTTTGAAGTAGCTGCCCATGAGAAGGTTGTTCAATTTGCCCAAATGAGAGGTGATCTAGAGACTGACTTCAAGATGATGGTGGATGGAGGGACCACTACCAAGGGACTTTCTAAGCCTCCTGTTGTTAATTTCAGTTTCCTAAGACCCTAAAACTCAAAGAAATGGTGGAAAGGAAGGAAGGAAGGAAGGAAGGAAGGAAGGAAGGAAGGAGTTTCTTACTGACTGAAAACTTGTGGTCATTTCTAGTTCTTCCAAGGTCAGAATCCAATCAAGACGAAAGGAAATCCTGGATTGCAGCTGTCATCACTGGTCTGATCATCTTCATACTTGTGCTAGTCTGTCTGAGAAATAGATACAAGAGGAAGCAGGAACGGCCTGGCATCTCTTAGAAAGGTGACGAGTGTCTCTGTCCTGTCTGAAGATAACCAGTTACAGTTTGTTTGTAATGAACATACAAGATGAGGTGGTAGCTCGGCCGTGCACTGTTACATAGCATATATAAGCCAAGCCAGTCTCCAATACTGAAAAAAGTGTTTTAAAATGAGACTATGAAACAGTGGGTTTCATTGTGATGCTCGCACGTGTATAACCTGTACTTTGCATACATTCAACTCCCCATTGTCATTTCTTGCCCCCACCTCACACCAATGACCCTCTTTCTTTCTGACAATCTTCCTCTTTTCAGGAGATAGATGACTGGTAGATTACACATGAGAGAAAACATATTATAGTTGCTTTTTCTGAGTCTGGCTTGTTTTGTTTAACATGATGGTGTCATTTCCTTTAAAATGACATCATTTTGTTCTTAACAATGGTTTAATAAAACTTTATAGTACATATATATTTATGCATGTATATAACTAATGCTTTTTTGCTCTTTTTTCTGTTGATGGTTCTATATTTTGACTACTGTGAATAGTGGCATAATAAATGTGGTTTGTGTGCCAATATCTTTGTGGTGTGCAGACTTAGAATTATTTGGTTATACACACCAGAACAGTACAAATGTGTCACATGGGAGTTCTATTTTCAGTCTTTTGAGAACTTCCATGGCAGTGGCCACGCTAATTTGCGTTTTCAGTGTATAAACCTTTTCCCTTGCATTCTTTCTGTCATTTGTTTTCCTGATGACAACCATTCTTAACTGAGGTGCCATGGAATCTCATTGTCATTTTGAATTATATTTCCTTAATGACTAAGGATGTTGTATTGTGTGTGTGTGTGTGTGTGTGTGTGTGTGTGTGCTTTATTAATAGAGTTCGTTGAGGGTTTCTTTTATATTATATTTTTAAATTTTTATTTTTTTTTGAAAATCTCCTATGTGCACAAAAGACAATATTTCTTGATCTTATCCATTCCTTACTTCCTAACTCAGTTTTCCTAGAACTCTTCCCATTCTTCTCCTTCAAAGTCTGTCCTTATATAATTTATTCACTTATTAACCCACTGAGTCCAATTAGAGGTGCCCACATACACATAGGCATGGGGTCATCCACTGGTGCACAGACAATGTCCACTGCCACACTCCTAAAAGTAAGTAACTCTCCCTTCAAGCCATCAGCTGCCAATAACTTCCAAGTCGGGGTGGAGCCTCACAAGCCCCTTCCCCGTTGATGATGGAAATTTTGACTGGTTTGATCACCACAGCTGCTGTGAGCTCATACTGGAAAGCCATGTTGTGTCCAGAGGACAGCATCTCACAGCCCTGCTTCCCATCCTCTGGCTCTTACATTCTTTCTGTCCCATCTTCTGTGAAGTCCCCTGAGCTTGGGGGGTTAAATGTAGATGTCTCATTGATTGCTTGACATTCAAAGTCACCTATTCTCAGCACTTTAAACAACAATGTGCCTCTGCCTTAACCACCACCCACTGCAATAAGAAACTTCCCTAGCCAAAGTTGGGAGCAGCATAAATCTGTGGATAGAAATATAACTATTTAGAAGGCAGTTTGATAATGGAACCGTTTAAAAGAACAACATCAGTAGACTTTCCCCTAGGCCCCGTGACCCCCTTCACCCTGTTTACAGCCCTAAGTATGCATTTCCCCCTGCAGAGCAGACCTCAAATCCAATCAAGACCAAAAGAGTCTTGCCACAGTGTTTACTAGTGGGCATATTTGGTCTGGAAAGCGTGTAGGAAGCAGCACTAGACAAGACCATTGATGACGTTTCTCCCCCAGCACCTTCCAGTAGCCACTATGAAGGCTATTTGTCAGGGAGAAAGTTTCCTGGGCAGTTCAAGATTGTTGTCTCAGTGTCTTGCAACCCAAGTATGTGGTGTTGTCAGCAACAGAGTCTTCACTCATGCAGTGCTGATGAGCAGCTATGCGCAACAGCAAGAGCCTGGACTGTTTAGGGTGCTCCTAATTTCTTTATTTCATTCAGCTTTGGGGGCTTGTTTCTCCTCTGTGAGGTGTCTGAACATGGCTAGAATTATTGGAAGTTCTTTCAGGCTGTTTTCATTAAAGGCATATTTATGTGGGGGATTAGCCATTCGTGCATGAGATGTATTCCCTTGTTTTTTGGGGTTGCTTTTTATTCTGCACCAGGACTTAACAAATTTGAAGTCATTTATTGGTTTACACCTCCTTCCTTTTCTCCCCTCACCCCCTTTTTCTTTTTTGTTTGTTGGCTTTTTTTTTTGTTGTTGTTGTTGTTCTGGTCATCTTTCTCTTTCAGTGGAGGTGTTTGCAATGTTCAGCGGAAGCCAGGGCTCCCTCCCTGGTTCATGTGGCTGTGAAGCCTGTGTTCCTGGAGGAAAATAACGGGGTTCTTTGTGTATTTTAGGTATGAATTTTCTGTTACATGTGCAGTTGGCACAATTTTCTCCCATTAAGTAGGCTGTCTCCTCACTCTGCTGTCTGCTTCGCTGTCCAGCAGTCTTTTCGTTCTGTGGGTTTCCACTTCTCAAGCTAGACTATCATTTCCTGAGCTAAAGGGTCCTTTTTAAAAAGTCCTTGTCTGGCCCTTATCTTGAGTATTTGCCCTACATTTTCCTCCAAAGTATCTGTCTTAATTAAGGCCTTCACCCATTGTCAGTAGATTTTCTTTACAAGGTGAAAAGCAGAGATCTAGTCGTGGTCATCTCTCTGTGGATATCTAGCTCTCCGGGCACCATTTATTCTCTTTTTCTCTAATATATGTTTTTGGCACCTTTGTAAAAATTTTAGATGCCTATAGCTGCATCTCCAGGGCTAATTTCTCGGTCCTCTTTTCTATCCCATTGGTCTATATGCCTATATATGCAGGTCGTGCCTGCATCATGCTGTTTCTGTAACTGTGGCTTAGATAGTATAATTTGAGATCAGACATTGTAGTATGGTTCAGCTATTGGGGGTCTTTTTTGCTTCTATATCAATTTGATGATTTTTTTTCTATTTGTATGTAGAATATCATTGGAATTTTAGTGAGACTGAATTGAATCTGTATAGTGCTTTTGGTAATATATCAATTTTTCATCACAATTTTTTGGTCACCTCTAAGCATAGAAAATCTTTCCTCCTTTTAATATCTTAAGTATAATAAAATATATCTATTTGTCTTCAATTCTTTAAACTCCTTGTTTCACCCTCTGAGTTAGACTTATTCCTAGGCTTATTGTTGTTTGGTTTGTTTTTTGCTATTGCCAATTGAACTCAATATGTAGACTAGGATGACCTCAAACTCACAGAGATCTCCTTGCCTCTGCCTCCCAAGTACTGAGATTAAGGATGTGCACCACCACAACCCTGCAAGACAGTGACTCTTTGTTGCTTTGCCACCATGCACTCTAGGTTAGCTGGTCCATGAGCCTCTGGGGATGCTCCTGTCTCCAGCTCACATCACCCCACAGAAGCATCAGGGCTTCAGATGCTCCTGCTGCACATCTGTGCTTTACACGGCTTGTAGAAATTTGAACTCAGGCCCTGGTGCTTGCACAGCAAACACTTTGCACACCGAGCTGTCTCCCCAGCTCTGGTGCCATTCCTTATGACTTATCTACCTTGTTTATTATATGGCTTTTTATATTCTAGGATTTTTTTTATTTAATTTATTGGATTTTCATTTCCAGCATTTGTATTCATTTTTTCTTCAAAATCTGTTTGCTTGCTGAATTTCTCATATATGCTGTTGACTTTCTCCTTCACAACCTGGGTTGATTCCATTGCATCATTGTTTATTTGTTTATGCTTTCTTTGAGCTCACTAATCATTTCAGAAGGAGACTTTTCAATTATATGCCCAGCCATTGGATGTCTTTGTGTTCACAAGTTAAGAAGTCATGGTCTTTTAGAAGAGTCATGTTACCTTGTTTTTCCCCTTGCTTCCTTGCTATGGTGTAACATCTGTTTGGATCTGTATCACTTCTGATTTTATTTAGGTGTTTGCTTCGTGAGCAGCTGTAGTAATAGGGGCAGCGGGGCTGCGTTCCCAGCACCCCGGCCGCCTGCTCGGCTAGCTTATGCCCGAAATAATCACACACAAACTGTATTCATTTAAACACTGCTTGGCCCTTTAAGCTCTAGCCCTTACTGGCTAATTCTGATATCCCGATTAACCCATCTCTAATAATCTGTGAGAACCGGTCTTACGGGGAAGATTCTAGCCTAGTCCATCCTGGGTCGTGTGTCTGCCCGGGAGCGGGGCATGGTGTCTCTCTCAGGCGTCTGCTCCCGAGAGGAGAGCTGTTGAGTCTGAGCTCACTTCCTCTTCCTCCCAGGGTTCTGTTCTGTCTACTCCTCCCACCTACCTTCTAACCAATAAAATGGGCCAAGGCAGTTCCTTTATTAGCCAATGACCTTCCTCCATCAAACAGCCTTTCCTCAAAGGCTCAATCTCTAATAGCACTTAGAGAGAGTTAGTCATAGACATAGAAACAATCTCTAGAGTGGAATGATCTGTTTCCTAAGTCTATTTTCACAGTGGAATAACCAACTTGCAGTCAAAACAAAGGACGTATGGAGTAAAAAAGTAAAAAGAAAAAAAAAACATGTTTTCTCCATAAGGCAACCAGAAATATTTGCGACTAGATAAGGAAGTCAAGGATGTTATATGTACATGTAAGACAGGAGTTGGAAGAGGATGTAAAGAAGCTAAATGTGTGTGTAAGATGATCACACTGAACTATGTCATCAAAGGCAGAGGACAGGAGAGGGTAGCACCAAAAGAATGTGACAAAAGTATTGATAGCAAAAAGTTGTGTCGTCTGTTATACAGGACAATGAGTTTGGTCAAAGAAAGGCTCCTTGACATCTCCAGAAGGGAGACATACCGTGGAAAATCAAACCATGCGGATATGTGATGCTCATGAACTTGAGTTCTGTAGTAACTGACCTGGCTTTATGAATTCTTCTGCTCTTGATTATGATAAGGAAATTGCTACCCTTTTCCAAACTTACTTTTTATACTTAAAATTTTATATTATCTTACAAAATATTTATTTTTATTTTATAAGTATGAACATTTTTGCTTGCATGTATATATGCGTTCTGCATATCTGCCTCATTCTCTTAAAAGCCAGAAGAGATCCCCTGGAACTAGGGTTACAGGTAGCTGAAAGGTGCCATGTGAGTTTTGGGAACTGAATCAGGGACCTCTGCAAAAGCATCAAGTGCTCTTAACTGCTGAGTCACCAATCGAGAACCTCCATATGTTATCTTATGTGGCAAAAAGTCACATGAGCTGCAGAAATTTACTCACGTAGCTTAGAGAGCTATGCTAGGAGAAGGAGGAGGCATAGGAGGTTTGGGAAAATCTCAGTCCATCATTATTGGCTTTGAACTTGGGAAAAGAAGGGCATGAACCAAGGAATTTGGATCACTTCCAGAGGCTAGAAATGGTCCTTACTTGATAGCCAGTCAGCTAAGAACTGAGGAGT